ACACAGACTCAAATACCCTTAGGCAAAGCACAGAACAGAACCCCCACCTCTCACATCCTAGCAGAGCAAATTAACTTTCCCTCTTCAGTAAAAGGGAGAGGAAGAGCAGCAGCACAACCCCTCAATTCCTTCTACTTTGGGAAGAAAGGAACAACCTGTCCCCTATCTCCAAAAAGCTAGATCAGACAAGTGACTGCTATGAGATACCCTATTGCACTAAGTAAGACACCCACATCTACAACAGGGGAGGAGCTAAGACACGCTATTCTTTCAAAGTTTTTCCTTCTGTCTCCTTAAGGTAGTTCCTACTCAACAATATTCATAAACTATTTATTATAAAAAGAATTCCAGCTCCTGGTGCAAGATGACCACTCCACTTGGCAACCAGGCACCTGCAAACTAAGCACTGCAGTATCAGCGTCTCGCAGCATGCAAGCCCCCCCTTTTTTTTGGACTTAGTCTTAGAGCTTTCTGACCTTTCTTCATTGATTTACATTTGTAGCTGGCGAGCAAGTCTTCCACTCAACAGATTCACCAGAAATTGGAAACCAAAGCTTTCCCTATGCTCTAGCTCTTTATAAGGCACGCAACGCAATCCCTTCCCAGCGGCTGCACACACAGACCAATAGCAACCCATTTCCTCCTCCCATCTTCAGAGTGAAAACGTTACATCAGGCATGGATCCTGACATCCTGTTGTCCTGGAACCAGTGAATCAGAAAGTTCCTTCCTCACAATTGTATTCTTTGGAGGTGGAAAATAATTAACTTCCCCACCCCCTCCACCTTCCTACTGCCACTGTCAAAGTCAGAAATTCACTTGACTCTGTCTGGAAAAAAACTCAGCCATCATAATTCAGTGCCAGAGAAAGTTTTGTTGATCAAAGCATAGCCTAGTCTTCCTAAGGACACTGCCTCACTACATCACATCAACCAGGCCAGCAACACAGCAGGTATTTTATTTTTGTTTTTAAAGTTCCTTTCAAGAAGTTAATGAGACAATAATGGTAGTTGAACTAGATAGGTTACAAAAAGAATAAAACTAAAAAAAAAAATCAATTATCACGGAATTCATTGTTTGAAATATATTTTCCCAGCAAAACACAATCTAATAATAGTAAGGGTGCAACAACTGTATACAAAAGCCATCTATTGTGCAGTTAACCAAGACATGTAGATTTAAAAGCACTCTAGTTTTTCCACATTCATGTGTGTAATATCGAGTGTTTGTATGAGAAACTAGGAGAGAGATTTTGCAAGTCCCATTTGGTAAGGACGAAATTCCTGTTCCAGGTTATTGCCTTGCATGAGAGAATAAGTTCTCCCAAAACAGGGTTTGGGAAGGAGGGAAAACACCAATACCCTCACTATAAACATCCTGTCCATTTGTCCTCAGGGCAAAAAGGTGTTTGGCTTCAGCCAAGAGGCTGTTCAACTAATGCCTAGTAGTGTTTCAAATTTGTAAGCTAACTAGTTACTGATACTATATTTTTAAAGAACCATAGGAAGCCCTATCACATTAAAAAAGAAGAAAGGTGAAGGAAAGTCACCATACCAACAGATACATACATGACTTTAAGAAATCTTGAAAAATCCTAACCTTAAAAAGAAAAAAATGCACCTAATTGCATCGATATTTAAAAGTGAAAGTATCAGATGAATCACTTAAAAAATACCCCTCTTGCTCCCATGATAAAAAAGAGGGGCGGGGGGGCGGGGAACACAATGAAAACACATTCCCCCAAAAATCTAAAATTTCATTGGGCATTAATTGTGCAGAATTGGTACGTAACAACCCTACAGCCCTTTTGAGTACACATTATACAGATTCAACTGTACAGAGAAAAGTTGTGGTATAGCACGCACAGCATCACTCTAGCAAAAGGAAAATCTAAAAGGCTCACATGTGCACACACCAGAACAACACGGATAACCTGGACAAAATCCTGGAAAAGGAGGGGGAAAAAAATCCTCTACATCTTTTTCTTAATAATTATGCAGAATAGAAGGGAAAAACGTGTTTGAAACTGAAGGAATGTGAACTGGGAAAAAAAAGTGTGACCACTGTTAACTAATATTGTAAATACAGAGGACAATGGTCCTGGTTCAAAAATCCATTGGAAGAGAGCAATTTTGTGCAGTCTTACTAATCTGTGTGCAGAAGAACATAAAGCAGGTTTTTTAATGGAAAGTAGGAGGTCTGAATAAAAATGTTAATTATAACATGTTGTAATAAGGATACCCCCAAGATCAGCCCTATCTTTTTTGCTACAGCACAGTCCCTAGGCATATGGCTAACTACTCCTTGATCATTATCCTGGCTAAAACTAAAGCTACTGAAGTTTAGGAGACTCATATCTAACAGAATTTCTTTCATCTCTAATAATTGCTAAACTAGCATAATTACTCATACTTGAGGTGAAATAGAACCCAAGTTGTCTAAAATTAAAGTTAAAACAAAAACAAACCTCACCACCTCTTTCGGTTTTTGCACATTCATCTTTTGTCAGAATCCTATGCCAAGTGTTGCATTATGATTTAAAAGTATTTAAGAGCTTTGCTTGTGCTGACTTTCGTAAAGAGAGCAAGCAAAAAACTTTAATGCTTTCTAGTAGCATACTGTAAAATATATCTGCAAACAGACATGTACATTTTCACAGCACCAAATGAAACCAGCCCAATTCCCCGCAGATCTGTGTGTTGTCCCTTCAGGGGAAAATATACATACATACATATACATGCCACGGTTCTGATATAAGTGAAGTAGTGCATTTTCCCCACCCCCAGCTGGGACTGACTTTGAGCTCAGGTAGCCCTACAGGAACCAACAGAAACTGTAAAATACAGCTGGGAAAATAAAAGATGCTAAGAGGTCTGTCTGTCTTAAGGTATCAGCATTTATACTCTCTTTTAATCAATCTAAAAAAAGAACTTGAAGTATCTTGTTTTCAGTGTTTTACACAGAAAATACACTGAATCCATATGGTCTACATAAAATGTTAACGTTTTTTCTAGATCCTTTCCTCATGCACAATTATTCAAAATGAAGATTATTTTTTTCCAAAATGCGCGAGTTTCAAAAAGCTGAATTGTGTTTCAGAACAAAGAAATGAGAGGTATTAAACCAGTTGTAAATTAGACTGAATGAATTACAGAGCTACGTAAAGCCTTCCAGGACACCTTAGAACATGGTGGATAACGTTATCCTACACGTTAGATAAGTGCCTCCATACTGACAGCTTCCCTTCTTACACGAGTTAACAGCAACTCGGGAAAACAAAATCAAACCAAAGCAAACATGCAGCATTTCTAAGCCTTTTAAGATTATCTTTGTCACAAGATTTCACCTTTATGGAAACTCGCAGTACAAGCAGGAGCTGTTTAGATGAAGCTGTTCAGATGTTCACTTCTAAGCGTACCTGCTCCTAAGAAGTAGATGGTGATGGTAAATACAACTCATGCTGGCCCCCAAAATGACCGTAATCCTACAGCTAATCAAGACCATCAATACCACTACGCATTGCCAAAGTCAGTGAATATTACCAAAGGTTAGGGTTGTTTTTGTTGTTACGGATTTGTTTAATATATAAAGGAGCTGGGGCTTGCTTTGGCAAGTCAAAAAGAGAACACTATAAATAGCTTGCATTAGAAAAAGATGCTAATCTTAAATCCTCTTTGTAATTTGTTTTTTCATGTGCTCTTTTATGTTTGGTATCTTAATTTTTGCCCTTTTTGGATGGCCAAATAGAAGCCAGCAATCCACTCATGCATCAAACAGATGTTTTTGTTTTTCAGGCCAAATTGAAACTTATGAATTTTTTGTTCCCTCCCTATAAAATGATGATGCCAAAGTAACAGAGTTCCTGAAAATGGCCCATTCAGAAAAACGCATTTTGGTCCAGTAATACTGAAACTTTAAGTCAAGTTCACAGAAATCATGCCAATACCAGTTGCTGTTTTTGTTTATGCTGGATTGATTATAGTCTTAACCAGCAGACAATCTAATGAGTTTCGAGTCTAGTCCATGCAATTTAGAAGCCAGGGAGGGGTGGGGCTGAGAATAAACATTCAAATAGTTGATAGATACACAGAAATGTAAAGGCTACTGTTTGAAGGGGATCCGAATGTCAAATTCCCTCTGAACTATTGCTGCTATTAAGTAAGATCTTTGTTTTAATCCACTACTGTTCTGCCTTCTTTGGTACTACACCACCTGCACCTCTGCACGAGAAACATCCTTTCGCTCTGAATTTATGATGAGAAAATAAGTCACATTAAAACACAGGGACATTTATTCAGTCCACCAACATTCTGTATGAATTGAGTTGCAGTTGTAAATTCAGTCAGGATGGAAAGAGTACCTGGGTTTCCTCAAAAGGAGGGAACAACTTTGAGACACTCCGGGCTTGCCAAAATATTTCAAGATACAAGCCTTCTTTAAGCAGAACATAGATATGTAAAATACAGATGATAAATTTTTCCTTCTCATCTTTCTAGGAACTAACGTTCAGTGATTTTATTTCTGCAGCCAAATGTGGGATACAAAATTACAGTGAGTAAAAATTTACTTTGAAGTAATAACAAAATATTTTTATATATTTTTCAAAAAGAAACCACTTTCAGAGATCAGCGCTTCTATTAAATGTGTGGGGCTATTCTAGTTTCCTTGTAATGGCTCATCTAACACCTAAAATTTCAAAGATTTTTTCACAGGTGACTTTAGCATAGTGAATATTACCTGACTTTAGCTTAGAGAAACCTGTGTTTAACTTTTAGTAGGACTACATTTCCATTCGGGTTTGTATGAAGAATATCTGTTTTTCTCTGCAAGTGACTATATTTTTGTAACTTTGTTTTCAAACAAAGTTTCTCATCAAAAACCGGTAGTAAGGGCAAAAGAAAAACCTCAAGCCCTCCCAAAACTAAAACCCTATAAACCAGAAACAGCCAGTAACCTAAGTGTGAGATCTACAAAGCATGCCAAGTCACAAAAAAGGTTTACCATTCTAATGGCCAAGTTAAACAAGATACAATTGAGCTGCTCTCCCTCTCCCTTGCTTTATCATCTCAGAGGGTCTGCAGCACCGTTTTATTTAGGGAACAGCGTTTCCCTTAGGAGTTTAAGGAGTCACACGAATTGCCCTTCTTCAGTACCTGTCACTTGCAAAGCAGCTCTTTTGAGGCTTCTACACGGGTATCATATCTCTGACTTACCTTTCCCCACCTGCTTTTCTCCCACTATCCTCCCTCCCCCACCAAATGCATTTGTTGATTTTGATCAGGTCAATGATACCTAATAGATTATTTTTTTTCCTTCCAGAAACTAGACAAGGAAATGGGATAAATTAATCAGTAGAATGAAATATAGGTCAGGACTGATGAGTTGGATGCAACTGATGCTTCCTCTACCTAAAAGAACCCGGCAGTTGAACTTTAATTCCTCCTTCCTAAAGTAAAGTAAGATATTCAAATTACAGGGTTTTTTCAGAAAGTTAAATAATTTAGCTTCCTTTTGAGACTTTTGTTTGACACAACCCTGTAATATAGTTGTAAGAGACAGTGTTTCTCACAGAAAATAATTACAATCTTATTTTTCCTTGGAAAGATTTTTTTATTATTCTTAAATTGTAAGGGGCTTTTCTAATGTTAGCCATGCCTTTTTTCTTTCCTAGGTCCAAACCTAAGATGCAATCCTCATCGAGAGCTGGGGGACAGTCAGAGCAAAGTTGGCAAGAAACCAAAGCAGGGGAGAGTAAAAAAAAAAAAAAAAAGAGAGAGAGAAAAAGAAATAAAAAAGGAATGTAAACAGAAATCAGGGTAATTAAAAAAGTGTATTTTCAAGAAATAGAAGAAATTTAGTCATTAGCAAGCTCTTAACACCTACCATTTCAGACGGATGTTAGTTTCATGCATTCAATATAAAAAACTCAATCGTCATTTTGTTTTAATGTATTTACCTGCCTTGTATCAGTATTCCCCTAAGATATAAGTTTCAAATTAAGTTATCAAAAGTGACAGACATTTCAAAAATATCTCTTATATCTTCCCCCCAGAAAGGGTTGTTAAGTACATGACAAATTGGAAATGTAGTGTGTAACTCCATATTTTATTTAGAGGTAAAACAGCACTCATGAGTTTAAATAACTCATTTACATACATTCAAATAATAGTTTTTCAGAGCAGGTATTTAAAATACTGTTTATTTTTAAACTGTAGAACTGTATTTTGTACCGACTAGATCAGTAATACTTAAGAAATAAGGACTTTAAATAAACGCTGCGTTGGAGGTACTGTTGAAATCCTCCTTGCTTTTGTATGTTCACTAAAAATCAAGATGCAATAACTGATGGGCAGACTCTTCTCAATGAATTTACGTGCTATGTCTAAGCAAGCATCTTTCAACTTTTCAGATGAATTGCACTATTAGCCCTTTCAGAAATCTTACAGTCGGGCTGCTTTCAGAATACTATCAATCCACTCAAAACCTGACATGACTCAAGAAAAATAAAACAGGGAAAATGAAAAAGATATTTGAACAAAGGCCACCAAGAATGATAACCTACTCCCCAAAGGTAATTACTGCAGCAATAATTACAGATGATGATTGATTTACTGCCTGGTTTTAGCTGAAAAATAGTAAATAAGATACTGTAAAGAAATCTCTGTCATCTCTACCCTGAACATTAAGCGGTTTTCTTCAGCCAGTAGCTTATTGTCAGCAAATACAAGCTGCTCCAGCTGAATCGTACAATGTTGCTGTTTTCTCATTTTAAGGGACTCTCGGGCTACTGGTGCATAAGGAAGGCAAAGCCCATACTTCCACATAAAATGGAAGCTGTATCTTTTGTTTTAAATTAAGTGTGATGTTTACAGGAAGATATTTGAAAAAAACCTCCCCTCTGTAACATATCTAACAAATAACTACGAGTAAAATACGTCCGATGTCTAACAGGAGAACAATTTCCTCTATTTGCCAATTAATTGCGAACGTTTATTCCTTTGCACTTAAATACTTGGAAGTCTATGACTACCCTTCAGTTAAAGTTTCCCAGCATCTTTTTGCAAATATGGCTAATTGGTCGCTCTTCTAAAACTCTTACGCCCACATAAATAAATCCTCCCTGGGAAGCTCGGAATGTAAGCGCGCGCCCAAGCAACAGAACTTTCATTGTGGTATCATTTCTAAAAGGTAAGGGAAGAGCAGCTCGTTTGTTCTTCACAAGATGCCAAACAAAAGCACTACTGAACCGCACAAACTTCGCTACCCTAGATAGAGACGGCAGCAGCAGGTAAAGCAGTAAATTCAAGGCACTCTATTCCCTTTTAAAAGAGCTGGAGAGTTGGGTTGTTTGTTTGGTTTTGGTTTTGTTTTTGTTTTTAAAAAAGGACAAAAGAATTAAAGCCTGCTCTAAAGCTCACTGAAGTCAACAGGAAGACTTTGAAAAGGGAACTCCTGGAAAGAGTTGTTTCCAGCGCAGGGAGCGCAGTTTTTTTCCGCCTGCACAAGTCCATAACAGCAGACCCCGCTCCTGCTTTCTAACTACGA